TGGATGGGATGACTCGACAGAGGCAGGTGGACAAACTTGGCCTTTGACTTATCGCGGTTCCCAGTTCATAATTTTTGGCCTAGATAAGCGACACTATATCGAACCTGCTTTATGGCCTGGTCCTTATCCAATTATTTCCAGTACAGATATTAACTCGCGCTTGTGTGCGCTGTGCTTTCAAATCGTACATCGACTTCAAGATCAAGGCCTAATATATTCCTGAAAAGTTCGGAGCCGCAGTAGCTCGTAGAGTTAGGGCTAAAAAAAGAGTGGCTAGAACTGCTTTAATGGACTTTAATGATTCGACTCGTGGAATAGATTTTGCTAGAACTTTGAAGCGTTCCATTCCATCTGGGTCAGTTAATTAGTATTAGAGAGTTTCTGGGAAACTGTTTCTGACATTGTTTCGCGAGCAAGCTGCAGCTATAATTGTATTTCCTTTAGAGCACTTTTAGCTCTCATCTAAAATTGTTATCTGAAGGGGAATAGTCGTAATACTCAAGGCCAGCTGAAAGATCGTATAGAGGACATCTCCAGTATTTTGTTCTCAAGTGCCCACTCTGAGAGCTTGAGGGTACGAATGGGCAAGATTAAAAGATTTGCAACATCAAAATTATAATTGAATGTGGAAATATCAGTATATAAGGACACAACACATGAAGTTAATATTGAAGAATCTGTAAAACTGAGTTCATTTCAGCAAAATCAAAAGTGAAGTTTAAGTATGATGTCCGGGACAGTGAAGGAACGAGTAAAATCCCGTCGAAATACTGAAGTTAAGGTCTTGCTCCTCTCTTCACTAAGGCAATGAGAGACTGAGCATGGAGGAGAGAGAATAGGCTAGAGAGCACAATAGATCAGAGAGCGCCAGACACCACATTGCTGGCAAGAAAAGCCGAAGCGATCGAAGCGGTCTTCGCAAGGCTCCAGCGCCTTTGTTATTCACTTTAAAGCCGACAAAACAGGACATCTATGACGATCATGAGCAGCTTTATACCACACACCGAAATGATTTATCCTCCTGAACTTCTGGGTTGCCTTTAAGGAACTCTGAGTACACGTAGAATAACAGGATAAATTTCAAAATTGAGCCACATGGTATTTCGGAAAATTTCATTACAGCCCAATAGGAAGAGACCTAAGAGCTCTTTCCGGATCATGTGCAATATTATGCACATATTATGCAACACGATTGAGCCCTTACCAGTACGACAAAGATGAGACTATTCTGGAAACGGTACCTGCAGCGTTGCAAGAACAACTGCGCAGCAGTCATGGATACTCCATCCGCAGAGCAATTTGAGTTCGGACCTCATAATTTGCTCGAAGTGAGGGCTCCAACGTTTTTATACGTTCATGGCGTTTCGAACTGGTAATTGGCTTTTCATAAAAAGTCGTGTGACGAGTGTTGAAGTACATATCTTAGCATATGATGCAATCGATTGAAGCTAAATGGAAATGTAATGCAATTAGGAATTGGGGCGAACCTTTGCAACAGACGGAAATCGGAAATCGAGGCGAAAAAGGTGATTTCTGATGATCACGTGGAACACTTGATGAGGGAGTGTCGGCCTAGGAAATAGGTAGTCAGCGTGTGATTATAACAGTGGACAGCGTTTTTTTTTTTGCTGAGAGAATTTCCGCTAACCGAAGTCCGGCCGAAAAAACCGAAAATTGGCCTAGAAATAGCCGGAAACCAACTTCCTGAATTTGCGCATAAAGTTGTTTATTGCGCTCGTTACGCAGCCATGGGTTGAGGCAGATCTGTATCATGGGGATATTATTTGAGAAGCGGCTCTCATGCTCGACTATGCGTGTCATCTTCTGCTACTTTGACTTCTACTCAGATCATTTATGGCTTCCAGAAATAACACATCGCGTTATTTCGAGTTACAGGATGGCACTGCATCAGGGATGGTTGATAGAAGGTCTTTCATGACTTGTACCATCTTACTCCCAACCCTTCCCTACTCCTTTCTGCATCGAGGGAAGCGAGACAGAGAAAGTACCACGTGTAATATGGGGAAGCCTGAAAATGAAGCGTGACAGGGAGGGCGTCGGATTCAAAGGCACACTCCGCGATACGTTCTACTAGTGAAATTCCTTTCGTGGATGCACTTCTGATTCCGCATCAGCAGACGTCGTACCACTTTCGCTCCTCGAAAAGCGTTACTGAGAGGTTAGGAGCTTGAGACTCGAATCCTGGCATGCCCCATGGATCCACACACACCCACTGTAGTGACACCCGTTTTCCTGTCTACGCTCTCTCGTCTCCCTCTATCGTACTCTCGTTAGCGCCGTATATCTTACCTCGCTCTCCGCCTCTGAAATCTCTCCACAGCCTGACACGAGAAAGCTCGTATTTCGGTGCTATCCCGATCACTTTTCCTTTTCTGCTCAACTGTCCGTCTCCTGCGTCCCGCACTCTTATACTCCACACCAACTTGAGCGGTGCAACGGACTTGGATTGGCACGATGCTGGTTGTGGGTTTAGTTCGACTCCCCAGGGCCACGGCTTTTTGCGTTTTCGGCTAGCGCTTCATGATGATTGCCAAATAGCACTATCTTCATAATAAGCGTCATATTCATGGTCGAGATCATAATTAACTCATTAAAACGAGTTCCTCAACGAATGGAGGAAAAATTCCATTGCACCAAAACGGCACCATACGGGGCTGGTGCCAAAAAAGAATGCGATAACCGTGTTCAGAACATTAATTTACCCCTAGGCCCGAAAATGAGATCTTGATGTAACTTCGAAAAATTGGACCAGCTATAGTACTAGTACACACAGTCAGTGTCCTCAGATGGTTTGCAGACAAGCTGAACTGGGAGAGTCTGGGGACTCTAGTGATTAGCACGGAAACCGAAATTATCTCCTCGCACTGCAAGTCTCACACTACGCAGAGTTCTTTAAAGATAATCTAGCTATCAGCAGTAGGCCTAGCCGGTAGCATGGTCAAGAACTCAACTTGCTACTGTCGGACGGAGAGTACTGAACACGACGATGAGCCAATCGTCCACCATTTCCGGCAATCGCCTCATTTGATCGGAAATCTCCGCGTCCAGAAAACACTGTTAGATGTAGCCATCACTTTGTGGAGATGGATTATCTCATCACAAGCAACCGTGGGCATATGCAAGAGGCAATCGGCCAAACTTACTTAATGAAGGCTAAGTATCTGTTACGCAGGCTTTTTTCCAAAACTCCGTGATCGCCTTCAAAAGACTCTGTTGGTGAAATAAAACTCATTCCCAGCACTAGTTAATTGAAAACCCTCTACGACCGCATACGTGGATCCCGGAACTGCGTAATTTCCTCTGCCGGCACGTAGGGATACTGAACTGTCGCAGGTGTGTTCTACTACATCTCCAGTCCAAGACATGGCAATGAATATACAGTAAGAAGGACTACATCATGTAACGAGTAGGCTAAAGAGCATCTGAGCTGTAAGGCTACGCCACGTAAATTGACTACCACATTTGGTTGGTAGAGGTCCAAAACCATGACAGATTCCACTTCGGGGTTACAGTGAATCCACTGGCGCTGGGATCTCAAGTAGCCTTATTCAACGGGGCTGTGAACTTTTTGTGGAGGTTCTTGAGCCCCATAAAATGTACTTAGAGCTACTACCGACTTATTACTTTTATTAACTCAAAAAAATACTTGTGATGTGAATGGAGTGAGAGAATTTGGGAAGAGGCTTCTACATTCAAAACAGCGCGCTTCCCGCGCATTTAATCTTATCCACGTTACGGAGAAAGCAGTTCCTAATGGCCGATCGACAAACCAATACGTGAGATATGCATCACAAATCTTAAAAACGTCTTTTTAGAAATATTTGTCAAACTATTGATGTAAACATGTTTTGCTTGGCTGGTACATGAATGGAGATGTTCAGACAGCGGTAATGCAATGTTTTTCATGCAGAAAGCAGAGATCAATATGTGATTTGATACCTAATAACGCGATGAAACTCAATTAGATGCTCCATTTGTGAAGCGTCAAGGATCACGAGGCGTCGACAACGTGAAACATTTCCACTCAGGACGAGATGGCCTAATGAACGTATTGGAAGAAAAGCGTATAGACATCGGATTGGAAGAAAAGCGTATAGACATCGGATCAATATAGGTCGAACACCATCGAGTTGAACGATATGACATCCGGTTTTGATCAGCCCCTTCCCTTGAGGCTCCGCAACTTCTAATCTTATTATACAGATTCTTATACAGATTTATCTCACCACATAAATCTGGTTCGAATTTGCCGACCTTGTATACAGACTGACCGGCGGAAGCGAGAAGCGAAATAGAATTTGATCCCTAGAAAATGCGACTAGAAAGCCGCCGTACCAATCCTGAAAAAGCATCACAGAAACACAAAGATTTCTTCAAGAACCCAAGTGGGAAGGGGGTTGCCTGTAAATGAATCCATCTATAACGCAACAGTTTCGACTCATTATGACCTTTCTACCACAAACACTGGCGATTTCTCATTTAGCTACGTTACTATTCTACTCATTGCGTTACGAAACACATAGCACAAACCAGGCCCGCGTTCTCATCTATGCATTCGTGCTGCTTGCCGTGGCTCTTCCCTCCATTCATCGTCTTCCAAATGTTCGGGATTCCATCAATTTCCACATAAGTGCTGCTTGCCATGGCAGCCATCTCCATCAGATGACTTACGAATGCCCTCCCCAGCCACAACAATACTCGCACCTGTGCTGTTTGAGGCTGAAATCCCATCAAATGCCTTCAGATGGCTCGCTGGCTCCAGCTATTCCCCACTTGCGCAGCACGCCTTGGCTGCTGTAGCCATTCAATGACTACGAACCATGCCATCCCTCATCATTACGCACTGATGCTGCTTGCCGTGACCGCAGCTCCATAGAATAACTTACATATACCTCGCCAGTGTCATTCCCCACCTGCGCTGCTTGGCTGCCCTCTAAATTCAATCCCTTACCAATAGCAATGCATAATGAAGAGGGTCATCAATCTTCATTACGCATTGGTTTGCTTGCCGTGGCCGCTATCCAATGACTTACACTACCTTGGTGCTGTTTGCCGTGGCCAGGGTCTCCATGCCTTGCCTTACGGACCGTGTCATCCTCATCCATACGACTGGTGTTGCTTGCCGTGGTTCCCGTATCCATCCAATCACTTACACTACCTTGGTGCTGTTTGCCGTGGCCAGGGTCTCCATGCCTTGCCTTACGGACCGTGTCATCCTCATCCATACGACTGGCGTTGCTTGCCGTGGTTCCCTCCATCCAATCACTTACACTACCTTGGTGCTGTTTGCCGTGGCCAGGGTCTCCATGCCTTGCCTTACGGACCGTGTCATCCTCATCCATACGACTGGTGTTGCTTGCCGTGGTTCCCGTATCCATCCAATGACTTACACTACCTTGGTGCTGTTTGCCGTGGCCAGGGTCTCCTATGCCTTGCCTTTACGGACCGTGTCATCCTCATCCATACGACTGGTGTTGCTTGCCGTGGTTCCCGTATCCATCCAATGACTTACACTCCTTGATGCTGTGGTCCATGGCCAGGGTCTCCACTGCCTTGCCTTACGGACCGTGTCATCCTCATCCATACGACTGGTGTTGCTTGCCGTGGTTCCCCGTATCCATCCAATGACTTACACTACCTTGGTGCTGTTTGCCGTGGCCAGGGTCTCCATGCCTTGCCTTACGGACCGTGTCATCCTCATCCATACGACTGGTGTTGCTTGCCGTGGTTCCCGTCTCCATCCAATGACTTACACTACCTTGGTGCTGTTTGCCGTGGCCAGGGTCTCCATGCCTTGCCTTACGGACCGTGTCATCCTCATCCATACGACTGGTGTTGCTTGCCGTGGTTCCCCTCTCCATCCAATCACTTACACTACCTTGGTGCTGTTTGCCGTGGCCAGGGTCTCCATGCCTTGCCTTACGGACCGTGTCATCCTCATCCATACGACTGGCGTTGCTGCGCCGGTGTTCCCGTATCCATCCCAATTACTTACACTACCTTGGTGCTGTTTGCCTGGAGGGGGGGGGGGGGGGGGGGGGTGGGGGGGGGCGGGGGGGGGGGGGGGGGGGTTGGCCAGGGTCTCCATGCCTTGCCTTACGGACCGTGTCATCCTCATCCATACGACTGGTGTTGCTTGCCGTGGTTCCCGTATCCATCCAATGACTTACACTACCTTGGTGCTGTTTGCCGTGGCCAGGGTCTCCATGCCTTGCCTTACGGACCGTGTCATCCTCATCCATACGACTGGTGTTGCTTGCCGTGGTTCCCGTATCCATCCAATGACTTACACTACCTTGGTGCTGTTTGCCGTGGCCAGGGTCTCCATGCCTTGCCTTACGGACCGTGTCATCCTCATCCATACGACTGGTGTTGCTTGCCGTGGTTCCCGTCTCCATCCAATGACTTACACTACCTTGGTGCTGTTTGCCGTGGCCAGGGTCTCCATGCCTTGCCTTACGGACCGTGTCATCCTCATCCATACGACTGGTGTTGCTTGCCGTGGTTCCCGTATCCATCCAATGACTTACACTACCTTGGTGCTGTTTGCCGTGGCCAGGGTCTCCATGCCTTGCCTTACGGACCGTGTCATCCTCATCCATACGACTGGTGTTGCTTGCCGTGGTTCCCGTCTCCATCCAATGACTTACACTACCTTGGTGCTGTTTGCCGTGGCCAGGGTCTCCATGCCTTGCCTTACGGACCGTGTCATCCTCATCCATACGACTGGTGTTGCTTGCCGTGGTTCCCGTATCCATCCAATGACTTACACTACCTTGGTGCTGTTTGCCGTGGCCAGGGTCTCCATGCCTTGCCTTACGGACCGTGTCATCCTCATCCATACGACTGGTGTTGCTTGCCGTGGTTCCCGTATCCATCCAATCACTTACACTACCTTGGTGCTGTTTGCCGTGGCCAGGGTCTCCATGCCTTGCCTTACGGACCGTGTCATCCTCATCCATACGACTGGTGTTGCTTGCCGTGGTTCCCGTATCCATCCAATGACTTACACTACCTTGGTGCTGTTTGCCGTGGCCAGGGTCTCCATGCCTTGCCTTACGGACCGTGTCATCCTCATCCATACGACTGGTGTTGCTTGCCGTGGTTCCCGTCTCCATCCAATGACTTACACTACCTTGGTGCTGTTTGCCGTGGCCAGGGTCTCCATGCCTTGCCTTACGGACCGTGTCATCCTCATCCATACGACTGGCGTTGCTTGCCGTGGTTCCCGTATCCATCCAATGACTTACACTACCTTGGTGCTGTTTGCCGTGGCCAGGGTCTCCATGCCTTGCCTTACGGACCGTGTCATCCTCATCCATACGACTGGTGTTGCTTGCCGTGGTTCCCGTATCCATCCAATGACTTACACTACCTTGGTGCTGTTTGCCGTGGCCAGGGTCTCCATGCCTTGCCTTACGGACCGTGTCATCCTCATCCATACGACTGGCGTTGCTTGCCGTGGTTCCCTCTCCATCCAATGACTTACACTACCTTGGTGCTGTTTGCCGTGGCCAGGGTCTCCATGCCTTGCCTTACGGACCGTGTCATCCTCATCCATACGACTGGTGTTGCTTGCCGTGGTTCCCGTATCCATCCAATGACTTACACTACCTTGGTGCTGTTTGCCGTGGCCAGGGTCTCCATGCCTTGCCTTACGGACCGTGTCATCCTCATCCATACGACTGGTGTTGCTTGCCGTGGTTCCCGTATCCATCCAATGACTTACACTACCTTGGTGCTGTTTGCCGTGGCCAGGGTCTCCATGCCTTGCCTTACGGACCGTGTCATCCTCATCCATACGACTGGTGTTGCTTGCCGTGGTTCCCGTATCCATCCAATGACTTACACTACCTTGGTGCTGTTTGCCGTGGCCAGGGTCTCCATGCCTTGCCTTACGGACCGTGTCATCCTCATCCATACGACTGGTGTTGCTTGCCGTGGTTCCCTCTCCATCCAATGACTTACACTACCTTGGTGCTGTTTGCCGTGGCCAGGGTCTCCATGCCTTGCCTTACGGACCGTGTCATCCTCATCCATACGACTGGTGTTGCTTGCCGTGGTTCCCGTATCCATCCAATGACTTACACTACCTTGGTGCTGTTTGCCGTGGCCAGGGTCTCCATGCCTTGCCTTACGGACCGTGTCATCCTCATCCATACGACTGGTGTTGCTTGCCGTGGTTCCCGTCTCCATCCAATGACTTACACTACCTTGGTGCTGTTTGCCGTGGCCAGGGTCTCCATGCCTTGCCTTACGGACCGTGTCATCCTCATCCATACGACTGGTGTTGCTTGCCGTGGTTCCCTCTCCATCCAAATGACTTACACTACCTTGGTGCTGTTTGCCGTGGCCAGGGTCTCCATGCCTTGCCTTACGGACCGTGTCATCCTCATCCATACGACTGGTGTTGCTTGCCGTGGTTCCCTCTCCATCCAATGACTTACACTACCTTGGTGCTGTTTGCCGTGGCCAGGGTCTCCATGCCTTGCCTTACGGACCGTGTCATCCTCATCCATACGACTGGTGTTGCTTGCCGTGGTTCCGTATCCATCCAATGACTTACACTACCTTGGTGCTGTTTGCCGTGGCCAGGGTCTCCATGCCTTGCCTTACGGACCGTGTCATCCTCATCCATACGACTGGTGTTGCTTGCCGTGGTTCCCGTATCCATCCAATGACTTACACTACCTTGGTGCTGTTTGCCGTGGCCAGGGTCTCCATGCCTTGCCTTACGGACCGTGTCATCCTCATCCATACGACTGGTGTTGCTTGCCGTGGTTCCCGTCTCCATCCAATCACTTACACTACCTTGTGCTGTTTGGCGTGGCCGAGGTCTTCTCCATGCCTTGCCTATACGGACACGTGTCATCCTCATCCATACGACTGGTGTTGCTTGCCGTGGTTCCCGTATCCATCCAATGACTTACACTACCTTGGTGCTGTTTGCCGTGGCCAGGGTCTCCATGCCTTGCCTTACGGACCGTGTCATCCTCATCCATACGACTGGTGTTGCTTGCCGTGGTTCCCGTCTCCATCCAATGACTTACACTACCTTGGTGCTGTTTGCCGTGGCCAGGGTCTCCATGCCTTGCCTTACGGACCGTGTCATCCTCATCCATACGACTGGTGTTGCTTGCCGTGGTTCCCGTATCCATCCAATGACTTACACTACCTTGGTGCTGTTTGCCGTGGCCAGGGTCTCCATGCCTTGCCTTACGGACCGTGTCATCCTCATCCATACGACTGGTGTTGCTTGCCGTGGTTCCCGTATCCATCCAATGACTACACTCCTTGATGCTGTTTGCCGTGGCCAGTGTCTCCATGCGTTACCTTTACGGACCGTGTCATCCTCATCCATACGACTGGTGTTGCTTGCCGTGGTTCCCGTATCCATCCAATCACTTCACACTACCTTGGTGCTGTTTGCCGTGGCCAGGGTCTCCATGCCTTGCCTACGGACCGTGTCATCCTCATCCATACGACTGGTGTTGCTTGCCGTGGTTCCCGTATCCATCCAATGACTTACACTACCTTGGTGCTGTTTGCCGTGGCCAGGGTCTCCATGCCTTGCCTTACGGACCGTGTCATCCTCATCCATACGACTGGTGTTGCTTGCCGTGGTTCCCGTATCCATCCAATGACTTACACTACCTTGGTGCTGTTTGCCGTGGCCAGGGTCTCCATGCCTTGCCTTACGGACCGTGTCATCCTCATCCATACGACTGGTGTTGCTTGCCGTGGTTCCCGTATCCATCCAATGACTTACACTACCTTGGTGCTGTTTGCCGTGGCCAGGGTCTCCATGCCTTGCCTTACGGACCGTGTCATCCTCATCCATACGACTGGTGTTGCTTGCCGTGGTTCCCGTATCCATCCAATGACTTACACTACCTTGGTGCTGTTTGCCGTGGCCAGGGTCTCCATGCCTTGCCTTACGGACCGTGTCATCCTCATCCATACGACTGGTGTTGCTTGCCGTGGTTCCCGTATCCATCCAATGACTTACACTACCTTGGTGCTGTTTGCCGTGGCCAGGGTCTCCATGCCTTGCCTTACGGACCGTGTCATCCTCATCCATACGACTGGTGTTGCTTGCCGTGGCTGTTGTTTCTTTCTACTGGCTTACAAGTCCCCTTGTTGGCCCTGGTCATTACTTCATCTATCAAGTCCTGGACGGTGTCGTAAAACTTGCCTTACCGGCATATCTGTTTCTTGGGGTTTCCTGCTGGATGCATAGTTAACTCACATGACACACTTTAGTGTTCTAACTTATAACTTCAGCCTTTTATATCAGCTGAAGAGACAGCGGAGTGGTTGTTGCTGATCTGGCTCAATTTTGTTCCTGTTACACTATACATGTTTATGGCCGTTACTGTTCTACAATAGTATTAGTGGTGCACTCCTGAAAGTCCCTGAACAAATAAACAAGTATGCAATGCCAACAGAAAATGGAATAGTTAAGAACTGGTTGAAAACCATGAATTTGTCTCTCAACTCTAAGCTGATTTCAGAAAATCAACCGAATCTGCCGGTAGCCGTACTACCAAAAAACTTCGCCACACAGTCATGCAGACCACCAATGTGCAATCCGTATCACTCTTCAATAGGCGTTGGGGTGAGTGACATTTGCTGATTCAATGATAAAGAAGCAAACACCTTTCGCGGTCACACGCTGATTACACTTGCCCTTGCGTGAAGTCTCCCAATCGATCCTACTCATCACATTTCATTCTAAGGTAGCACGATAGGCTTTTGATGAGATAATTTTCTATGAATTGCAAGGGCCAGTGCTGTTATAGGCCATATCCTCCTTCTTTATACATATTAATGCTATTATTATCTCAGGATTCGAAATGCCAAAACAGGATAGGTGAAGTGGTAAAGGGCTTGAGGAGGAGGGAGGAGATGGATAGTTCGTCGTGTTGGAGGCACCAAATTCGCAACCTTTTCCCAAATGATGCCGCACCTTCGGTAGTGAAGGGTTGTAGATGGCGGAGCCCGACTCGGTGGGCGGGGCTTGCGCCAAAATCTTTGCTGAAAATATGGATTTTTGATATTTTTCAGAAGGCTCGATTATAGCGAGAAATCGCAGATTGATTGGGTGCTGTAGTAAAAGCGGAAATTCCTTCGGGTCACATGCTATCGATCGATATCGATTGAAAATATCGGTTTTTGCGCAGAGGGCTCGAATGAGGTTGGGAATCACAGTATTGATTGGGTGCTGTGGTAAAAGGGAAAATTCCTTCGGGAAACATCCTGATTTGGAACATCAACTTTTGCGCAGATATTTCGAATGAGTGGTGAATCATTACTGATCAGTCATATCGCCCGGCTACGCCGGATTCTACTCTTTTTTTGGAAGTCGGAATGTCCTTCTATAAAAATGCGCATGATTTCTGATGGGGACTGCAGGCACGAAAACGTGAGAGAGGTGAACCGTAAATGCCGTTTTGAGGAAACTACGTACTTAGACGCTTATAGAGGAGTACACCGCTCTTACAACTGATAGAGAAAGCTTGTCAAATACATCCAATTTTGAGCGCGAGATCACTTTACAGTGGGCGGAATGGGACTTCAAAAAAGGAGTAGAGCCCGGCGTAGCCGGGCGATACGACTGCATCAGAATATTGAACCACTCAAGCTGGTTGGTAGTGTCTTCCTCTTAAACAGATTAAATTTTGTTGCGAGAGAATAACATACGGAGACGAGGGAGTGTAGCAGGAGAGAGACACAGAAACCGCTACGGTAGTCTTGCACTTAACTATGGGTTGTGGAATGATCCAAGTTCCACACTACATTACGAGTCGCAAAATTAACGCTGTCTTTGAGGTTTGAGACGCAGTATTTGAATTGCGAATGGAACTAATGGAATTACCCCATCTTGAAATGTTCTTTAAGTTGATACTTCCACCCTTAGTGTTTTAGACGACTTTAGGTGGAAGCAAACGTTCACATTGAAGACGGTTTTGAAGGCGAAATTGACTTGCCAGCACCGATTGGGAAAGGAATTGGATACCGTCTACCTATCAGCGGAAATTATCATCGAGGTGAGACTACATAAAAATCAACATGCAGTGGTAAATAAAAACTCAGAAGGAACCTGATAAAATAAGCCACAAAATGGACTTATGGAAAGCTTCACTGCCCTCAGAAAGCAGATTCATTGAGGTCAACAGATCTGAAACTAAATTCAAATGGTTATCACATAATGTAATCAGAT